GTGCTGCTGGTACCCACCGTATAACTTTTATCCTAATGATTAGAGCACTCCGGTGAGATGTGGGAGACCCAGGTTCAATTCCCGCCTCTCACAGGAATGCTATAATCCCTGAGCTCTCATGTTGGAGCTGTTCCACTGTGGATAAATACTTAAATAGCCACTGGGCCACAGAGGGAATGACTCTGTGGTCCAGTGGTTAGGGCATCCACCTGGGAGGTGTGTTACCCAGAGTCCAGCCTCCGTGCTCCACTCACTCTTTCATTATTTATTCACAGAGGAAGAGCTTCAGCAGGACAGACTGAGGGACCCTACCCTCCTCAGAATAGCCACAGCTCAGTGGTTAGCGCACTCTCCTGAGAGGTGGGAGACCTTTGTTCAAATCCTCTTTCCCCCATCCCAGGCAAGCTCTTTGACCGCTGGACTAAAAGTTATAAGGCAGGCACCGCTCCCACCCACCCTAGTTTTTGAATGGGACCTGATCCAGTCAGGGGCCTCTGAGTATGCCTACTGGATTGAGCCCTGCATGCAGGTCAGGCGTCCATACCCCTATCTTGTGACTCACTCTAGGGCTTAAGTGGAGAGACAGGAGTCTGAACACCTAACAGGATGCAGCAGTGTGCATGCCCAGAGGGTGAAACATCGGCACCAAACAAGTCTGGGGTTTAGGTGCTTCAGTATCTTTGTGGATCTGGGCCTAAGTGGTTTATAGGCATTGTGCAGGCTGTGTTGAGTGCTCACAGACACTGAATTACATCAGTGGAGTTAACCCATTTTCAATGCTATTCAAATCCGAAACACTCCAATTGAAGTTCGTTTCCAGTGCAAATGGCCAGTACAAGGGGCCACTTAAATGGGGTGTAGGCTTCATGCTGGTGCTCTGGATAGGGGTTGATTTCACGCTGCTACAACAATGTATGAATGTATGTACCACATATGGCTCCTGAGTTCTTGCTACACCACTAATATGACTTTTAGTTTTAACTCTGGATTCTCCCATTTTAGTGTGTGAAGAGGGTCACAGCATCACAAGCCCCAGAGAAAAAGTAAAAAGAACAAAGAAGACAAGAAAATTGTTAGAAAAAGAAGATAAGTTATCTGTATGTATATGTACAATCTGTGAGTGTAGGAAGGATAGTGGGACTGCCAAAGTGCTAATGCTAATCGACACATCCAATGGAAAAACTGGGCTGCTTTATTTTTTAACACCTTCTAAATGCATTGGTCTAGGAGAACATTTTGGAAAGGAAAGGTGGAACATAGTCAAATTTGGTTTAAAAAATGGCTCTCTTTCTAAATAGGCATGGTTGGTTGGCATGTGTATATTTTTGTAGAAGTTGGATTTAACCAAATTTTCCCCTACTCCCTGAAAAAGTTTTTTTTTAACTAGATAGCTTTCATTTTTTAACGAAAGCATTACTGTCTGGACAGTATGCAAGTAGCTTAATTAAAGTATTTTGGACCCATTCTTCTCCGTTTGAAGTGAATGGTAGCACTCCCATTAGAACAGGATCAGGTCCAGAATCTTTGTCACTGTTACTAATTGGGAGTGTTAATGCTACAGAAAATGTGTTATGGAAACCTTTAAAGGCAACCTACCATGGACGTGGTTACATCATTTATCCAGTGGGGACAAGAGGAGACTTGCTATGTTACATTGTAAGAAATATAACACGAGTACCTGAATTTTCACGGCTTTTAAAAAAATAAACAAACAAAAAAACAGAGAACTGATTTTCAGTGCAAAAATAAAAACACTTCCAGTGAATTACACCCCAAATAAAAGATCACATTTCTGCAAGCCATACTTCACAAGAACCTCTGTGTGGCAATGTGATGGGGCCACTGTATGTGTTTTACATGCTGAAGTGCTTCCCTCACTCCTTGCTATTTTATAGTCTCTCCTGGGCTTAGCACATATTTAGGCTCAGCCGAAAGCCACTGGGCCATAGATCTAGGGAACTGTGGGGTGAAAATGTTTGTATAGGCTAATCCCGCCATTGGCTCGAGTTTGCATGCCATAGAGTGACTCTGAGGCCTAGTAGGATTTCCCACCTCTTTCTGTCCTCGTGTCACCGATGTGCAGCCCAGATTTTCAGGCTGGATGCTGGAGTTTGGCTTAAGTGAACAAACACAATTAAAAAGCAAGGCTAGCAAATCACAAAGTGTATTTTGTTAAAGTGCTTTGGCAATTGGAGTTTAGTTTTATTTGATAAAACTTCATAGTATGCTAGTAAATATTATGCAGTGTATTTTGTAAAAACAGGAAGTCGAAGGCCCTGAATTGTCAAAGATATGTATGTGCTTAACCTTATTATCTTGTGTTTTATTTTATTTCAATAGGATTACTCATGGTAGTAATGTTAAGCTCGTGTATAAGTGATTACAGGATTGGGACCTTAGTAATATGACCATTGACGATAGCATCCTGCTGTTCAATATTTGCTCAGAAGTAGGGCGAGACAGCCTTTTTTTGTAGAAATTGTGTGTGGATTAGTGAAGTTCAAATACCTAACGTACATAAGACCAAATTCTGCCCTCAGCTACATTTACGCTACTCTGCCAGTGTGAGTTCCCTATGATCATATTTCTACTCTGTGAAATGTTATCGAGTGTCGTTGATTTCTGTATTTTCACAGCCTGAGGCTAGACAGCTCCTGAAAGAAGTGGGTCCAGAAGGGGAAGGAAAAATTTCATTGGTAGAACAATTGCTTGATGAAGTAAGTTCATGAAGTAAATGGGCCTGGATCTGTGTCTTGAAAACCTGAACTAGAAATTACTCTTTTTTAAAACTTTAGTCCTGCCTTCATGACTTTTAATAAGAAAAATAATAAACATAACCCAACACGATTGTTCCCAGGGCAATTGTTGCAGTAGAGCTTTTAGGCCTAGATCCTCAAAAGTACTTAGGCTTCTAACTTCCACTGATTTCAATGGAAATTAGGAGCCTAAGGGAACCTCTACACTAGAAATGCTACAGCAGCTGTGCCACTGTAGCATAGGCACTTACGACAGCCACGGAAGGGGTTCTTTTGTCAGTGTAGTGAATCCACCTCTCCAGGACGCTGTCGCTAAGACGACAGATTAATTCTTCCATCATCCAAGCAGTGATACACTGGGGTTTAGAGCAGCTTAATTACATTACACATGGCATGATGTTTTACACAGCCCTGAACGATGTAGTTAAGTCAGCCTAACTGTGTACTGTAGACCAGCCCTAAATATTTTTGAGGCTCTGGGCCTTGCTGCCCCCAGTATTAAAGAAAATGAAGTTTAAATAAAAAGAAACAGGAAAATCTATTTGCATATATCCTAGTTCAATCCTTGAGGGGGCCATTTAGGGATCTAGGGCAAAAATTGGGGATTGGTCCTGCTTTGAGCAGGGGGTTGGACTAGATGACCTGCTGAGGTCTCTTCCATCCCTGATATTCTATGATTCTTCCAAAATTGATAATGAACAGATACATGAGAAGTTTGCCCCGCTTCCACCAACAGCATGGTAGTAAGGAAAAAAGTAACCTTTTCTGTAACCATTTTATGGGTTAAGGTCAAATCCTTAGAAGAACTGCCACAAGCCTGCCCTAAAGTGGGGCATACACCTTAACTGCATGGTGATATACTGCACAGTAGAACGCAAGAAGAGCGAGAGCTCTGAGGTGAAAGCAGGTTGGGGAGTCCTCCATTGGCCAAATCCATCATCACAACACTACCGCCACCTCTGCCTGGAGTTGTGGCCACAAAGCAGCTGCAATGTCTCTCCTCCAAATGGGTGGGGAAGCCTTTGACCCTCTCTCCCTCCCATGTGATTACTCTGGTTTTGTGCTAGGCACAACTACAAGGGCTTGACCGAAAAAAGACAAACACATGAAAGTTGAATTTTCCAGGTTTGGCTGTTTCTTTAGTGTTTTGAATGTTAAAGCAGATTTGAGAGAGACTGTGACAGTACATGTGACAACTAAAGCTGAATTTGTTATATTAAATCAGGGAGGCAAGTTGAAACATGTATAGCTTGTAATAAGCTAGTCCTTTTCTGCACATTCCAGGGAGCTGACCCAAACTGCACCAACAGTGAAGACCGACCTGCTTTAACAGTTGCTGTCCTAAACAGACATGATGAAGTGGTTCCAGTTCTTGTCCAGAAAGGTGCTGATATTGACCAGCAGTCAGGACCGTAAGTGAGCAATTTCTAACAAGAATCCTCTATAGAGTTTGACCAGCAGGGGGACTTGACTTATATTTCACCAAAAGGGACTAAAATCTCCTAAAGTGACCATGAATCAAATTTTCAAAACCAAACACACACACACCCACAGCTGCAAACTGGTCAATCAACAGACAACTACCCCTTTTATTGCTTCACTTTAATTGGCCAGCTTTAAAAATGTGGCCCCATATTTTAGCTCTACAAAACCTCAATCCTCCTCCTAAACCCTTCCCCTCAATCTTCCCATCACTGGTACCTTCCTTGTCGTCGCCCCCCCCCCCCGTCTTCTCCTCACCTACACCATTTCTCCCTATCAAAAAGGAGAAGATAGCCACCTCACCGGAGACTACATTTGTTGGTCCTTGATTTTCCCACCTAGTTTGAGGCAGTTGATATACTAGTAGAGATAAAACATTCCTTTAAATAAAGTCATGACTTTCTTTTTAAATAATATAAATTATTTGAGTACACCCTGTTTTCCACCTATACAGGCATAACACCACTGCTCTTCATGAGGCAGTTTTGCTTGGATTAGAGGGAAAGAAATGCATCAAAATCTTGTTAGGGTAAGTTCTGCTGTTGTGGCATCCAGTGCAACTCTGGGCTACATGTAATCAGTAACAGGTATGGGCTTCATCCAGCAAGGAGCTGAGTGCCTACAACTTAATATTGTGCTGTACATGTACAACAGAACCCAGGGCCAAACTCAGATATCATCACTTACATTGTAACACGAGTAAGCATCAGAATCTGACTCTGTGATTTACTTTTGAGTTGTAGTGAATTAAAACAGATTCACTTTCTAAATTAGCTTAAGCAGCCTGTTCTTTATTTACAGCTGTAATGCAAACATTAAAAAGAAGAATGGAAAAGGCTTATCAGCATATGACTTGGCACTGAAGACTGGGAATGAAGAAATAATTTCATTGTTTGCTAGTAAACTTGGACAGGGAATGCTGGACAAACTGACCAAGCCCAAGAATATCAGTCTGGCCATGGCTTGATTGGAGCTTTCTTATCCAAGGCAGAGCTGGATGCTGTGTGTATGTGTGTGTGTGTGAGGAAGAAAGTGGGTTTTTTTGGTTTTTAAAAGACAGCACGCCTTGATGATGCATTTTTTTTTTTAAACTGACTAAGGGACTTTGAATCAAGCAAGTAGCTGACACCTTTTGATAGCAAAATCATAAGTAATCTTCTTATACTTGTAAGAACTACAGGATTGAGCCCAAGGAGAGTAATTGTGCCTTAAAGATTAGGGTGCTGTTGGAAATATCTTAAATGGATCATTCACCACTTTTGCAGTGGTGCCCTTAAGACAGCAGTTACTGTGATTAACTTACATTTTAAAATAAAAAGAATGCATGTGAACTATTCTAATAGGAGAGATTGATACACTTCACTAGAGAATACTCAGTTTGAGCAGTTAAATAAATCATTGTGCGTTGTTTCCTTGAGACATTTATTTGTCAACATGAGACAAAATAATTTCAAAGGAGGTTTGCAGAGTCATGTAAGAGATTTAGGAACACAAACATCAATGGTAGTTGCAGTCCTAAATGCCTTAGATGATTTTGAAAATCTCCCCCTTTGTTTCTAAGTATACATCCCTTTGATCCTTGCATGAAAGGGACGTGAGCTACGAGCACCACGCAGGCACAAAGAGGCAACTCTAGAGAACATATATACAAGTCAAACACTGCACACAGGCAAGTCGCAGGGGCCTAGGAGACCAGCTTCTCAATATCACGACGTGCACGCTCTGATTCTTCCTTAAACTCCGTCACTTTCTGAGAGATTTGCTTTTTCTGGAAAGATCAAAAATAAAATTCCTTCAGCTTAGTACAGGCAGTATCACACTCAGCTTGGTGGAAAAGGACAAGGTACTGCAGCTCAGCACTCCCCCCCAGGGCAAAGGGAGGGAACTTCAAGGTGACATGCTGGCTGACCCAACAGGTCCTAGGACTGGAGGCTACCTTAGCCTTTTGGAATAGAGGCCTAACACACACCCCAATTCTGAGCTGTACGTACAATCACGTTTCTTGTTCGTTCCTTGTCCAGTTTCAGGAACTCCTGCAGTGTCAGGTCAACAGGGTTCTTACGGAGGGAGAGAAAAGCGCAGCCAGAGGAGTGTTTCCTGTGCTCATCCCTAGGAAAGGGAGACCAGGCTCATGTTAAAGGCACAAATAGTTACTTGCTTTCACCCCATCCTCCACCACAAGAGTTCTCAAATTGGGGTCCTTAGAGACTGCACATGGGCTCCACAAAATGTTATGAGCAGAGGCGATGTCCGGGGGGCCATGTGGGGTCCTGTTTGTGGAGTCAATGGTGTGGGGCAACCCCTTCTGATGGCAGGGGGAGCCATCAAAATGTTCATGGGCCCAGGGAGGGAGTGCCACCTCCACCTCACCTGTCACGCAACTAAAAATTGCAGTGTGTCACTGCAGAAGAGAGATCTCCCCCTGCCATCAGAAGGAGTTGCCTCACAACTACTGACTGCATGAGCAGGCAGCAGCTAGCCAAGGAGAGACACCACTGTTCGGCCCTGCTACATCAGCTCTTCAGGTAGCAGGGCCAAAAGGAAGACAGAAATCTGGCAGGGCACATCTGCGTGCACACACACATCGATTGCCTCTGGATAGAGGCTGCAGAAAGAAGCAGGCACACCCATCTCACAGATATCTCTTACACTCTTTCTTAAAGCATTACTAACAGTACATGTTTATATGAAGGATACATACTTTTGTCAATCAATTTATCAGTTGGGAGTTTGTGATTAACATTACATTTGAAAAGGGGTCTGTCAACAAAAAGTTTGAGAACCTCTGCTCTACCATATGTCCACTAGTCACAGAGCCACAAGTGAGTCACACCCCGCAATACTGAGAAGATACCAAGTTACTGGTATTTTGCTAAAACACTCCACCATTGAGGTTCAGCTGGCATTTCAATCCTAAAGTACTTTCCTCACTCTCAGCCACTTCAGTCTCCTCAGGGCTCAGTCCCAAACCCATAGTAGCAACTGGGCTGTGGGTTCAGGGAACTATTTAGAGGATCCTAGTCCTCTGTTCTGATTGCTATTAGTTAAGAAAAGTAGAACGTAACCATGTCTCACTTGGCATAAGTGAAGAACAAGGTCCTAGAGGAGGCTAAAGACAGGAGTGTTCCAGTTGCTGCTCCGTGATGTGCTGTCTTGCACAAATAAATGGGTTAGTCTCTAAGGTGCCACAAGTCCTCCTTTTCTTTTTACCAATACAGACTGATACGGCTGTTCCTCTGAAACCTGTCTTGCATAGTATGGTACTCTGGCTTCACTCCCATATTTAGCGGACCTCTGTGTTTGTGACTTTCACACGCCCCCAGAGGGGGAAAGCTACTGTGGTTCCTACAGTGGAACTCCTTCTATGGAGGTCCAATAGACTGGCTCCACTCCTGAGTAAAAATTCAAGTTACTTACTGAGGACACACACAGGACATTCGTTTTCCTTGTGATACTTAGGAGAACGTTGGGCCCAGCTACCAAAGCAGGCCTGGGGCAGCAGAGGCGCCTTGTTCTCCTCTGAGGAGCATAAACCCAATACATAAGCCTGCAGTCCTGCAATAATCAGGAGACAACTCCACCCAAGAGGCAGATGCTGGGTAGCTTCAGTGATGTGTAATTAGACAAGGTGCCACATGGCCGAGAAAATGAATGCTGCCATGGGACCTTTCGGCACCCTGGTTTGCAGGGGTCTCGTCTCCCCTGTTACGGGCAGCTTCTCTCTGTGGGCAGAGCGCAGGGCGATGGTGGCCCCCGTGGACGGGGATACTTACATGGGGTCATCCTCAGGCTCCCAGCCTTCCAGCTCCTTGAAGCAGAAGAAGCACTGAACCACATCAGGCCCATTCTCGCTGGGGCAGTGGACGAATCCGGCTTCTGCCATCTGGGGGGAGAGAGAGGAGAAAGCCGGATCAGCAAGACCACCGCGCTCCTTCCCGACAGGTGGGACTGACCGCCCCGCGGGGGCTGGCGGCGGGCACAGCAGGGGCCCGCGGGAGAGGCCAGAGATCCCCGCTCCGGAGGGCGGGGCCCCAGTCCCGCAGGCTCCGGGGTCCTGCAGTCGCCGCCGCCCGCAGCCGCGGGGAGCCCGGGGCCGGGGAACGGGGCCCGCCCCCGGGCCGCTCGCAGCGCGGCGGGCGTGGGGAGGGCCCCGGCTCCCAGCCTCACCCGCTCCGGGGTGCAGGCGCAGCCCTCGGTGAAGGGCCAGCTGCGGTAGGTGGCCAGGCGGGCCTCGCTCAGGTAGAGCTGCCACTCGGCGGGCAGGAGCGCGGCGGCCGCGGGGCACTTCATCTTCAAATCCCGGCGGCGCGGGGGCTGCCGGGACGGGACGGGGCGCGGCCGCGCGCGCGCGCGGGGCACCCTGGGAGCTGTAGTTTGGGCGGGGGAGGGGTTATGCGGGGCGGGCCGTTATAGCGGTTGCACCCTCGTGCGTGGATTGCGCGTCACAGAGAGACGGGGCGGGGCCTGGGGGTGTTGATGAGGGGGGTGTGAGTGAGTGAGTGAGGGGGTTGATGTGAGGGAGGGGCTGTGGGGACATCGGGGCCATGAGGGTTGTGGGGGTGTCAAGGCTTTGGGGGTGTTTAGATGAGAGCGGGACCGTGGGGGGATGTTGGCCTGAGGGAGGGGCCATGGGGAGGGCATCGGGGCCATGCGCAGATGTGGGGGTGTCAGGGCTGTGGGGGGGTTGACCTGAGGGGGGGCATGGGGGATGTGGGGGGTGTCAGGGCTGTGGAAATCTTGAGCTGAGGGAGGGGCTGTGGGGGGACATGGGGGACATGGGGGGTATTAGGGCTGTGGGATTGTTGACCTGTGGGGGGGCACTGGGGCCAAGGGGGGATGTTAGGGGTGTCAGGGTTGCGGGGGTGTTGATGTGTGTCAGGGCTGTGGGGGATGTCGGCGTGTCAGGGCAGGGGCTGAGGCACTCTGCCCTGAGTGGTGGTGTGACCCTTCTTTGCCCCAGCTCAGCGGCTTGGTAGTTTGGGGAGCAGGACAGAGCTCACCCCATCCTGGGAACAGGGCATGAGCAGTGACACAGGTGGTGAATCTGAAGAAGTGGTGTTTTACCCATGAAAGCTTATGCCCAAATAAATCTGTTAGTCCTTAAGGTGCCACCAGACTCCTTGTTGTTTTTGTGGGTACAGACTAACATGGCTACCCCCTAATACTTGAGGTGGTGAATCGCAACCCCTACCCGTCAGTCTGAGCCTGTAGCCAGAAAAGGAAAGGCTGGAATGAGAGGATGGCTTTGGGTCTGTGCTGGGAGCAGAGATTGGGCCCTTATAGGGAATGGACACAAACAGGTGCAAGGTCAGTTGATTCAGGTTTCATTGGTTCTTGGATTTAAATGAGCACTATTATTATTTGTTTTACCGTCATGCCTAGGAGCCCTTTACAAACCAGGACCTCATTATGTTTGGCACTGTACAAACAGAAAAAATGACAGTCCCCACCCCAAGAGGCTTATGATCTAAGCATGAAAGCCAGTTTTGTTTACTGCTACCTAAAGATGAAATTTTTATATTATAATTGAGGTGGGAGTGAAACCCTTGTATAGCTTGTAGTTACTAGTCTCCCTCTTCTATACAGTCCAGGGAGTTAATCCCAACTGCACCAACGATAAAGACTGACCTCAGACCACAGAACTTGGGGTTGGAGGGGGTGGAGAATTGTGGCCCGTTTGGGGAAAGGTTGCTGATAGGCTGGCATCCCGACTGAGGCTTGATTAATATTCTGAGGTATATGATGGTTGTGCTAAAGATGAGGTGTGTCTTTGAGTGGAGGAGGTTGGGGTATATATTTCTGATAGTCTTAACTTATTTCCTTCTGTTAGATATGCTATGTACAGAGCAACCTTATCTGATGCACAACGTGGTGCTTTTGTATATTAATTCATATATGCTGGCTCCCACAGAATAACACTACGAAAGATGGTGGTGTTGCTACTGCTTTGAAAAAGAACAATACAAACTGTAGCTGTCTAAGTGTAATAACTGCCTGCTAAGATCAGTACTGAGTTTGCATAGTAAATTAACTCTTACTGGTATGTTCTGCTTAACTCCTTATTTAATGTGAAAAGCAAGCTTTTATGGAAAATATGCTGTAACTTTAATAACAGGTACTGTGGGGCACTCAACCCCTTAGGCTAATCCTTAACAACCTAGTCCAAAGGGAGTTCTGTTTTGTGAATGTTTGCCACAATTGGCAGATGAATAACAGCCCTGTGTGGGTGTCTGTAATTCACAAGAAATCAAAGGTTATGCTGTCGCTTTTTTCAGGGAGTTAGTCAAACCCTGTTTCTCAGTTCCACTGAAACTCATTATAAATACACCTAGCTATTACACAACTATCTTGATGAAAACTTTCAATGTCATTTACATGATGTTTGTTCTGGATCATCTCAGAATTTTATGGCTGCCATCACATGTCATGTAGACAGTTGCCATCTTTACTCATAGTGTTGGACACGCTCAAGTCAGGGTGAAATCCTGGCCCCTTTGAAATCAATGGCAAAACTCCCATTGCCTTCATAAGGCCAATAGTTCACTCCTGGTGTTTGGCTCCAGCCTGAAAGCTGAGCAGGAAAATATTATTTCTTTGTCATGGGCTGACCATTGTCTTCTTTATTCTGTCAGGGCAATGACCCTTTTTTGCTGGTTCTGTTTCCAGACCGCCATGAGGGAGAATATTGTTAAGCAGGATGACTGCTCTATCAGTGGTGTGGTAAGATTTTATAGTGATCTTTTGTCTTCTACTATTGGTATGGTGGGCTTCAGACACTTTCTATACTAGCTTCATCTTCATAGGTCACAATGATAGACTGATTCCCTGCAACAGTGGAGAGAGAATATTCCTGGTGGAAGTCTTGTGGCCAGTCTGACTGCTCTGCAGAATAAAGAGCTTTTGATGTTCAAAACTCTATGGTTGCAGGTTACCACACCAGATGGGACTATTGTGATCATCTTTTCAAACGGGTTGGCAATCTGTGGCATGCATGCCAAATGCAGCACGCGAGCTGATTTTTAGTGGCACTCTGCTAACGGCCAGGTTCCTGGCCGCTGGCCCCGCTCAACCCGCTGTCGGCCTGGATGGACGGAACCCTGGGCTGGCAGCGGGCTGAGCGGGGCCGGCGGCCGGGAACCTGGCTGGCAGGGGCCGGCAGATGGAACCCCAGACCGGCAGCGGGCTGAGCAGCTCAGCGTGCTGCCGGTCTGGGGTTCTGTCTTCCGCCCACGCTGCCGGTCTGGGGTTCCTGCCGCCGGCCCCTGCCAGCTGGGGTCCTGGCCGCCGGCACTGCTCAACCTGCTGCCAGTCTGGGGTTCTGTCGGGGGGCTCCTGTAAATGTAAAATTTATTACTGGCACGCAAAACCTTAAATTAATGAAGACTTGGCATGCCACTTCTCAAAGGTTGTTGACCCCTGAAATCTGACCTGCTGCATAACACAGGCCTTAATTAACTGCCACTGGATCTTGTTATGGTGAAGTTGAAGGAAGGCATCTTTTTTCCCATTATAGTGTCCACAGTTACACACTGCAGAACTCTTCCAGGTAATTAAAAGGTTGGTTAATCATTTATATGATTTGATATGGGGGATAGAATTTTTCCCACTGGGAAAAATATTCATGTTACACTGCAGATAATAGCTCACAGTGGATCTGAGAGATATCTCCTGCTGCTGAAACAGAGCAGTGTCTCAGGGGGATAAATGCCAAGTAGTGTGTCCATTTCAGCTAGAGCTGCTCATTGATGCTGTGGAGGTGCTGGGGGGCCTTGAGGCAGATGCACAAGGGAGCAGTGTTGCTCAGCCTTTGGAATTTTTGAGTACTTGATTATTTGACCTTTAAATAGTATTATTGATTCCTAAATGACCATTTTTCTGAGCAGGTACCCAGGTTGTGCCTTCTGTTACTGGGTACACATTTTTACCTATGGACTTTGAGTCTTCGTGTTTAAAAACTTGTTCCGTAGTGTGTGCATAATTCATAGTGCACTGAACTTGCAAATTAATATTATAGCCAGGTAGTACCCAGGTAGTAGCCCTTGATGTTTCTCCTTAAGTAAGTGGAATATCTGGCATCCAGCCCAAATTTTTAGAAATATTCACTAATTTTAGGTGCCTCAATTTTTGGGTACCCAACTTGAGACCCAAGGGCCAGGATTTTTGGAGGTGTAACACCACTGGCTTCAGATGGAGCTGTGGGCATGTTTAGCGCCTCTGAAAATCAGACTATAGGTGTCTCAAAACATGTATCGAAAATCAGAGCTTACTGCTGCAAATGTAGGCCTTAAGTTTCAATAAAATTGTTATATATTTCTGCAAAGAAATCAAAACTGCTTTGTCCTCATCCCTGTGTCAGAAAGAATATGTCTCTAATTCAGATTCTCAACACTATTTCCTGTGAATGGAAATAGATCTACTTTAAAGCAGGCTGCACTGTTTTTGAACTCAGATGCCAATCACAAGGAAGAAACTGCCTTGTTTGTCATGAGTGAATGATGGCACAATCAAGGTTTGGAATTATTCTACTTATCAGCTGGCTATTCTGCTGCGGAGGAGGAGGGGGTCCTCTGGTATACCATTACTTGGATAATGCACTGGTATTTGGGGCAGGTTATGCTCTTGGCACAGAACCCATTGCAGTAACTGTGGATATTTCCTCATATATAAAGAAAAGCTTCAGCAGCTCTTCACTGCAGAGTTAGCCCAGGTGATCAGCAGCTGGCTTAGCCTGGCCAATGCGTGAGTTGCCACACCTCAAAGCCATACCCCAGATACCGCACCCTCACTGGTGCTACGCTCACCCATGTGTGTGGCTAGAACTGCTGGGGACTGACTGCCCATGGTTCTTTGTGCTGCAGTAAGGTCAGCTGCTCTTTTATTATTTCCCAGTGAATTGTGTGAGAACTTGTCTGTCCTTTTGAGAACATGGGGGGCGTGTGGGAAGGCATTGGAGAACTGTCTGCATAAAAGTTTCCACGGTATACATCTGATGAAGTGAGCTGTAGCTCACGAAAGCTCATGCTCAAATAAATTGGTTAGTCTCTAAGGTGCCACAAGTACCCCTTTTCTTTTTGCATAAAAGTGGTTTACCTGTGTCCTCACTTCAAAGTGGGCTGGTTGCCAACCCAAGTGAAAGTGGAACCCGGCCTTTAATTCACATCCCCAGCTGTGTCAGACTGAAAGTATAACTAAATTTGTATGAGAAGTTTCTGTGTGGTCGGGAAAGGGGGTAGAGAGGCAACACCAAGTAAGAGCCTGAACTAATTCTGCAGTGAAGACATAGGCCCTTTGAGGGTGGTCTCTGAGTCTTTCCTCCTTCAGCCTTCAGCTTT